ATCAGATGAACCAACTCACTTTAAAATAAATTGGAGCCTGGTCTCCAAGTTCCCTCGGCAAAGGCACACATTCTATCGTCAAATGTGGGAATCCGGCTTTAGACTTATCGCCAGCGAAGTATTCGAAGAACACGCAGTCTTCGCCGCGATCTTGAAACATTCGCACCAAAGACTTGGCGAAATTCTGATCACAAAAAACGAATTTCAATTTACCACTTCGTTCGACGTTGAAAACTTTCAACACTTTAAACTCACCTTGATTTCCTCCCATTCGTTCTCGTCGGCTGTAAGGGAGCTTGGGACATGAGACAATGGTGAGATAAGGCAATGCCCATCGACCAAGCTTTGAAATCCGGGTACGCTGAGGTATGTCTTTAGAAAAGAAAAAAGGTCGACGAAGTACCATTAAATAAATGAATATGAATAAAAATCAATACATACAGGTACAGTCCTACAATGTAATACTTCGGAATTATTCATGAAGCTTCTATACCCAGAGTCCAAGAATTTACTTTGCTGTGGATCGGTGGGAAACCGAACAAAAGTGACAATTCACGCAAGATTTGGCAGTTTTTTCTACAGCACATACCGGAAATGATTTCCGAAGGTCTGAAGAATTGCACGCACATGAAGTTACATACAGACAAAAACATTTTTGCCACTGGCAGCAGCGATCTGTCCACAATTCAACTTCACGGTCATCACAAATTTCTAACCCTGAAATTCTTGGAACACTCTATTCAGTATTGCACAATGGCCCCACTTCTCGATTTTAGATTTCGTAGCACGACAGAAATCAACTTTGAGAAGGACGAACACGAGGAATATTTTAAGATTACGCAACTTTTGGAAAAAACCAAAACTGATACCTTACAAGAGAACGCAAGGAAAAATACATAAACATCGTGACTAATGAATTGTCTACAGTCCAATTATGGACCTTTTCCACTTTGTTCCGAAGATGGAAGAATTTTCTACGACTCATATACTGTAGTTCAAAACTCAGTCCAGATTGAACGAAGAACATACACATCAAAACGGGGTGATGAATTCTTAAAAAAAAAAGTCAAGTGCACGTTCAATGAAATGAAGAGGAAAAAAAAGCTTTTCATCACTTACAAATGATCCCATGGCGATCATCAAATGCTTTATCATCCTGGAGGAATGGAAGCACCTGCGACACGTTTCCAACTGTTTCTGCTGTATCCTATCTATGGCCTCCATTCGCTTCTTTTCTGCCAACTCGCTCCGCATCGCTTCTTTGGCCTCGCGCTTCGCTGTTTTGGCGCTCTTCTCGACCGCCGTCCCGT